TGTGAAACCGTCTCCTCTGATCACGAAAATCACCGATCGTAATAAAAAGACTCACGAGAAGGATTTGTGGACAACAATCAGCCCTTGCCCCTTGGTCTATCTATGGTACATCGTTTTGTACGCTGCCTATGTCAGTGACAGATCGAACACCCCACCAAGACGTTGACGACCTCGTTCAGCAGCTGCTGGCCTGTCTATAGCGGCGTAGCGTTGGCCAACCTTTGTCGCTCCATACCTTTGTTATCTGTTTCTGGGATATTGATAATCGAAACGTAACTCGTAAATCGTAATTCATATAATAATATTATTATATGCTCGGTGTGATATTATTATATGCACTATACACACATCATATTGTATTTGTATTATACATTATTATTATATACGCATTACGCGCACGAAGATTAAAAAAGAGGATTCTAAAATTAATTTTTCCGCCTTGTTTTTTTGAACACATTTTCTCTACATTCGTATTTCGTTGTTTTACTCTTTGACGACGAAGACGACAAGTCGACAACGACAACAACGATTAACGTTAACGACTTCAACGACGGATACTCCTTTTCCGTCCAGATCGTTTGCTGCCCCGTCATCTCTTTAACTGTGTTTTCGTTTTCCAAACGTATTGTGCCCGTAGAGAAATGTCGCTGAGATCTAAGACGGTATGCGAGATATGCGGCGAATCGTTTTTGACGGAAAACAAACTGTCCAACCATATAACAGAACGACACGTCCACTCTTCTACAAGCCCATCGCCCAGCGTTGGTTCGTCGTCCAAACGCCGGAAACTGGACGCTGACTCGGACGTCAGGTGTCCGCTCTGCGATTATGTAGACCTGGACACTGACCGTCTGCAGCAACACGTCAATCGCATGCACTTTGACCCCGGCAGTCCCCGGCGACCAGGAACTGTAGACTTCCCTTGCCCGATATGCCCACTGGCATTTGACCACTGTGATAATCTCGAAACTCACATAAACGAAGAACACCACGATATTGTTAGCCCTCAAACGGTAATGTAAAGATGCAACAGTGTTTGATGCTGCCTTACCCCATTAATCTTTTTACTATCATTATAATATCATGATTTTTCTGTTGCGCAGGACTGTGATAGTCAAAGGATACCATTGTTGGAAAACATCAACGAAGGTTGTGTGATATGTGGAATGAAAAATTTTGATAGCTTAAGAGATTTGGATGCACACATTGAGCAACATTACCGAGGTAATGCGGTGTTACTTACCTATAATATAATATATTCTTTTACTGAACTGTTTTAATTTGTATGCAAGTGTGCATTGGAAAATTATTTATCAATCTATAACTCAAATAATATTGAAAACAATGCATTTATTATGATTTGTTCTCTAAAAATTAAATTATCTACTGTATTTAATATTATGTATCTATTAAAAATCATGAAATATTCAATAAATAATTTTTATTAAATATTAATTTTTAAATTGTAATCAAATTAAAAATTAAAATACTGAACAAAAACTAATAAACGAACAAGAATAATTGACATTAGAGTAATAAACTGTATAAAAATTAATAAATATGGCAATATTTAAAATTGTTTACCTATTTTATGATATTTATTATTACATTCTCTATTAAGATTTATGAAAGATTGAATATATTTYCATCAGAATAATGAATATTGTCAATATGTCTGTGAATAGGTTTGGGCATATACAAATACTAAATATTCAAGAAAATTTATTAATTTCAAAATATGTAATATTTTGTATGTTTAATTGTATTTAAAGTATTGTGAAATGTGCACAATTTCAATCAAAATTCAGAAATCWYTTTTCAACAAAATTATAATATACTAACATCAAAAATAAGCACTMTATTAATTACTAATGATGATTTAAGTAGCTGAATTTATTTTATGGATTACAAACAATTTTTATAATTGATCGYAAATGAAAATTATTATTGAAATAGGTATTTATTCATACAATTTTCCCTTATTTCCATGTACACTGTACAATTAAAAAAAATAATTTCCTCATTGTTCACATTTACTTGAATTATATAATAAGTATTATATAAATATTATTGCCTAATTGTTTATAATCATAAATATATTTGATTTTTGATTTTAAATTTTAAATTTCTTTGAGAATAAACAAACTTTATAAAATATGTTCTACTATTTAATATAATAACTATTAAGTTTTGGGTTGAAAGCTAAATAAATAACTAAATAAGTGCTAAAATATGTATAATAATTGCTCATATTCCATCATATTAAAGTTTTTTCCTATCCCAGATTTCATATTAGATATAATTTTCAAATACATTTAAGGCTTTTCCATGAGAGAATAATCACTTTTTGCACATCACAGATTTTATTGATGTGTAGAGAACCATGTGATCACACTAACACAGAGAAGTTGGTGGGAGA